CAACACATGCCTTATCTTCTGACATGCCTATTTGTGCCAGCAAATCAATTAACTTTTGACAGTCATATCTTATCTTCTGACATATTTATTTTTGACCAGCAAATTGATTATTATAGACAACTATTGCATATAGCTATCATTCATGACCCATACTTTATTTTCTGACACATTAATTGAGTTATCAAATTGATAAACATGCCACAACCCATGCCTTATCTTCTGACATGCCTATTTATGCCAGCAAATCAATTAACTTTTGATAGTCATTTCTTATTTTCTGACATATATATATATTTTTTTTTTACCAGCAAGTTGATTAGTCATATTGTTTAACATACAATACATCTGTCAAATATAAAGAACAATTTAAGTGGAAAGACATACTACAAATTTAATTTCGAACAAGAACAATTTACTGATAGACTGACTAACAATTTAACAAGAACAAGAACAACTTAAATGAAATACAAGCTAAAAGTTGAATACCTCCAATCACAACATACAAAAATACAAGGATGATTAAAACAGATAATACAACATCTAAAAGTTCCATTTCTCTCGAATTGCTTGACACATTTTTTCATGAGAAATGTGTTGCTCTTCAGTCATGTGGCTTGTGTCCCTCATTAAAATATCATAGTTTTTCCGCCGATTTCTCTGCTTCTTCTCCTCAAGAGTAGTTTTTTTAACTTCAACTTCAGCTTTTTCAAGCTAGTTAACTCAGCAAGATGCTTAACCATGTTGTTGTATTCTGCGACCATCTCATCAAGGTTAGATTTGCCTTTGCCCTTGGCCTTTCGTTTGGCTGCCTTCTGCCCGATGGGGGCGAGCCACTTCATGAAGTTCATCTAGGTCAATGCTTGCATCCCCCTTTGATGAAGTATTGTTGGCACCAGACTCATCAATTCTCGTCTTTTTTCTCTCAACAAAAATATCATTAGAACACTGTGGGGTGTACATAGGACGATCTTTAAGGATTCTCCATACATGCTCAAGATTGAAGGCTACACCATCATTCTCAATACGATATTTTTCGTAAGCCCAACTTAATATATCCTCATCACTACAACCACTTCGATAAAACATTGTAAATACTGTTATAGCACTCATTGAATCGATACACCTTTTTTTGAATCATATTATGCCAGTGAGATCTTATTATATTAGCATTTCTGGGAATATAGTCAGTAGGTGTATTTTCGTTATAATAATTTGCAACACGTACCCAAAACGATGAGCTCTTCTGATCATTACCGGTAATTGGATCGTCACTTATTGTCACATAAGCTTTTGCCAATTGCACATCCTCTTCCTTTGTCCATTGTGGACGTCTTTTCCGACCTTCAACAGCAACTCGTGTGGTTTTTGGGATTTCAACATTAATAGTTGCTTCACGATCTTGGAATTGTGTTTCTGGAACGTATGTTTGAGTATCAGGTTCTTTCCTCATTTGAGATCCGGAAGATTGACTTGATTGTAGCGGAGAAGATTGCACCAGATTTTGACTACTCATGTATTGCCAATATTCTGGCGGCGGGTTTTGAAATAAAAAATGTGGAGGATATTGTGAATATTGAATATTGGTGGAATTTGGATAATTTTGGGATTGTTGTTGCATAAAAGGAAAATTTGACGGGAAGTGTGGGAAAAATTGTGCAGGATAAGAAGTTTGTGAAAATGGTAAATTCGGCGGAGTTTGTGAGTTTTGGAAGAATGGATTTTCATCTGGATTGCTAGGATTAGAACTTGAGAAATTTTGAAAATTTTGTCTGTTATTCGGATCCATATTTTAGGAAAATGAATAGTTGTTAAAATTTTTGGTGTATGAGAAGTGAGAAATTTTTTCGGTGCAAGAGAATTGAGACACTGAAGTGTATTTATAGGCAAAAAATGGGATAAAAAATGTAAATTATTGATGCATATTGGGAAGTGTGATATAGATAAATTTGAATTTATATGTATTGGAAAGTGTGATATAGATAAAAAATAAATAAAATATATAAAAAAGGAAAAGAAAAAGAGTTAAATAAATATTTTAAAACAAATAAAATAAAATGAAAAAATAAGCATGGTGCATGCTTTTAATAAAACTAGTGCGTATCCCGTGCGATGCACAGGTAAACAATATTAAATATTTATTATAAATATGTATCGAGTTCAAGTCACCCAATGCAAGAAGTGGGGAACCACAATTAATCTTCTCTTAAAAGAGCAAGAAAAAATAAAGATGAGGGTAAAAGATATTAAATAATAATTATAAATTAACGATGTGGGGTTAACATGTCATATAATTTATGGTATATCATTTTATTATAAACGATATAAAATTAGCTTGTTCAAGAGAACATAAAATTTGTACGTTTAAACAATTACAAACTCCTAACATATTAGCTTTATTTTATATTGAATGAAGACTATGACAATTTTGAAAAAAAAAAAATCTGTCTATTTTCAAAACTATCCTCTTGATTTTTGAAACTTTACATTTGTAATTTGACTTAATTATTATAAATTTTTGAAACTTATGGAAAAAAATTTAAGAGATGAACTTCAATTTATTTGAAATTCTGAAAACCATTTTGAACTTCGTGCAAAATGAAACCAAAAATTTTGAAATTCATTATAATTATATAATTTTCAAGAGATTTGTTAATTTTAAAGTGGCACAAAATCCTTCATTTAAGGTTATTCGTCCAGGGATAGAAGCATGTGATTAGAATTTTTTTTTTCAATTGAACAAAATCCTTTATATTAGGAAGAGATTTTGAATTAAGTCCAATTTTATGGCAACTAAAATGAGAAGAGATTTTGAATTTCAAATTTTCAATTCAAGAAGGTAATTTTTTCGGCAATCTGATTGTTTGGAATAAAAAAACACAATCGAATTTTTTAAATAAGAAATGAGAAAGGATTTGAATTTCAAATTATATTCAATGATCGAAATTTCTAGAACTTAATGGAACCAAATCCACAATCTAGGCTGCAATGTGATTCACGATTTTCTGTTATCAAAAAAATTTCTTTTTGAAAAGTAAATCAACCGCAACTTTAGGAATTGGTATTTTTAAAAAAAATAAAGAATTCATTAATTTAATGGTGTTAGCCGATTTGATGTTCAAAAGGCTTCAAATTGTTTGCAAATACTAAAGTTCTTTTTTATTATTAAACCAGTCGTAATTTCTTTTTATAAAAAAAATATGTAATTTGGTAATCTTATTTCTGTTAAAAAAATTCTTTAATTTGTGAAAATGAAAATGTTACAACCCGTTCTTGAGTAAATAAAATATTGATGATTTTATAATTAGATTAATTTTGTGTTATTTTTATATATAAAAAAAATATAAAAAGAATAGAATAAAAATATTGTATATTTGATTATAAAATGAACTATAATTTATTTTATTTAAAAATAAAGGCATCCGATTAAAACAATTGTAGTAGCCTAGTTGATGTTAAAAGAGTTTCTGATTTTTGTAAATACTAACTTAAGTTTGTATTATTAAGTTAGGCGTAATTTATTTTTTCAATAAAATAAAATTTGTAACGTGGTACACAATTATATGTTAAAGATTTTTTTTTTAAAAAAATTTGTGAAAATAAAAAAGGAACAACCTAATCTTGAGCAAAAATAAGTAACAAACTTCACTTAACAAACTCCACATTTAAATGCAACATTAATGATGCACATTTGTAAATAAAAAAATAAAATAAAAACTTGCTATTAATAGCATGCAATTAATGCACAACCATATTTGACTTGGTATTTTTAAAAAATGGTAATTTTTTTTTTTATATATATATATATAGATTTGACCTGCCATTTTTGAAAAATGGTAAATCTTTTTATATAGATATAGATAACATTTTTAAAAAAAATAATAAAAAAAGAAAAACAAGCTGAACAAGCGTTCAGCCTCTTGAACAAACACCTGGTCCCCACTAATGAATTGAACGCCCACAACGCTATGCGCGTTCATTCAGCTATTAAACGAGCCTCTTTAACACCGCGATGTGGCTGCCCTAAGGGAGATTTTTGTAGACAAACCTTGTTTATGTTCACAAACCTTACACCTCTCCTATACAATAGTAAAACCTCAAGGTTTGTATTTGTAAACCTCATCCAAAACCTCTTGTTAAAGATGCTCTAAAAATATTAAAACTCAAGTGAGACAAGGGAGAGACATATTGACAGAAACCTTTTCATTCATCCCACGCAAGTACAAGAGATTATTGTTTATTCCCAAATGTTTTGATTTGAGCGTGTATTTCACGCTTTCATTATAGAACCTTTTTTATTCATTTTTTTTTTTAATATTGAAGCTTTAACACGAGAGCCGATTGCCAAATCCGGGTTTATAAACTCTAACCTTAAAGTTATGTACTTTAATGGTTAAAATTCCTAGGTTTGATTTCACAAACTTGTGTACAAACCCCCCATTAAAGATGCCTTAAAAGATAACATTGAATAGGTCGAGTCGAGTTGAGATCTCAAAATAATACTATAATTTATTGGAATATGTCCAAAGGCGGCGACGAGCCGTAGCAGTAAAAAAGTATTATTTTTGTAACGTTTGGGCCAAAACTGATTAATTTTCAAAACTTCTTACAAGAATTGATTAAGGGTGCGTTTGTTTATTGACGTTTTCTCTTTAAAACAACTTTTTGAGCTATTTAACTGTTTGACCATATACAATCAGCTAAAAACACCATTTGATAATGAGCCGTTGTAACCAGCGTTTTTATGCCCGATCGGCCAAAATGAAAAACGCTGCTTAAATTGGAACCGTTAAAATGCGGTATCTTTGGTTATCATTATCAACAACTATCAAAAAGTGATTTTTCCCCATTTCATTACCGGACAGATCCCACCCTAGATATATGATTTTTCCCATTAAGATTATGTGGAATGATTGTTGAATAAATATAAATAAAAAGAATAGTAAATTGTAAGAACTCAGGCTCCAACTCATCTTCCTCGGCCAAACGTTACTCGTGCAGACATGGAAATTCTGGTAGCTTCGACGCCTCCAAGGCTTCCCTCCTTCACTCACATAACCAAGAAAAGCTTCAAGCCTACAAAGTCGCCGCAGATTCTCAACTGCTCCAGGTTTCTAACAACAATTTTACTCGCCCAATTTAATGTTTTCTTAGGGTGAGTTTAGGCAGCAGCTTTTAGTTAGTAACTAAGATACTCTGTCCGGAATTGTTAATAAATGCAGCAACCTGTGAATTGAATCTGTTTCCGGTGTCAATTTTGGTGGCGAAGTTTGAAATTACTTGATTCGTGCGATGCAAGAAAATTACTCGATTCATATGCCTTTTCGAATGTGTCAAATGTATGAGAGTTAATGGCGTTTCTTGTTGTATATGCTTTCGAAAGGTGGTTTCTGCGTTTTTTTCCTTTGCGGATTTTAAAGAGACTGAGCGCATTGCTTTTGGCTGTAGATCAAATTATATTCATCTTTTCGTTGTTATCAATTTTCTGAATAAATTAAGCAACTCGAGTGTTTGATCTGATGTTTGAGTTGGGAAAATTATGGTTCCAGGAATGTTGGAGAGAGCAATAGTTTATCTGGAGCTCCTGTCCTGAGGGAGTAAGTGACATCTATATATTTTATACATACAGTGTGTTATGGAGAAATACTTTATTGTGAATCACATAACCACATAATTTGCCAACTAATTCAGGTCTAGAAGCTCTAGTTATGTGAAGGTGCATCAGGTACCCTCTTGTTGTTTCCAAATTTTCTCTTTGTTCTTTCGGTTTTCGATGGTTTTTTTTTTTTTCTTTTCTTTTTTAAAAAAGGAGGGTGAATTGTGCTCCCACTTCCCCTCTCCTCGATGACTTGAACCTATGACTATCGGTCATAGGTGAAGCGTCTTACTTGGTTTTTGATGGGGTTTGGGAACAATGATTTCAGTTTTGACATGTTTTGAGGCTTGATCAGTTGGCTCCGTTTTCTCTTGATACTGCAGGACGATTTGAAAGCCATTTGTACTGAAAAAGAGGAGAAGCATAATGACATCTTGCAACTATTTAATGAAGCTCAAAAAAGTAAGCTTGACCTACTTTTATGTACATGCATCTGATTGTCTATGTGTTTCATGAAGAATTTAATTTACGGGGTGTGTGTTGGAATTGTATGACTGCCATATAGATATTCTGCACTTAAACAAACAGCGCCTACTGGCGATGGAGGAGCTTGAAAGGATAAAGAAGGAAAGGGATTCAATGCTTGATCGGTTAGAGCTTTTGGAGATGAATACGACTGTTAAAAGAGGTTCTTCACTTGTATTCTTTGAAGTTTCTAAGTTAGTTCTGTAGAGCCCGGTCTTATCCTTGTATTACAATATTATCAAGTGGCTAGTTGTAATTGACATGATAAACTACAAGTTCTACATGCATTGCAAAATACAATGGATAGAGAGTGCTAATCTTTTTTCTTACTCTTTTCACAATAAGTTGATTTTTCAAATAGCTTAGGTGAGTAGTATAGATTCATGTAATTTGCATAACGCTAGGCCAAGCGTTTCAAATAGTTCCCTTACTGTCTATGTTTCAGTAACTTTTTGATTTTTAGGAGTTTAGATTCACACTGCAAACTCTGTACTTTTACCATTCTTCTTGCACTTGAAAATGAACAGATAAACTCACAATGAGCTCGGAGGTGCTTCTTAGAATAGATTCCTTGGTTCTCAATGGCATTATTGGCCATACCGAGGCATCTGGTTTAAGAAGGCTAGTCATGTCTTCAAGGGGTAGTTTGGCAGACGATTTGTATGACATTATTTGCAAAAACGATGCTGATTTTTTTGCTGAGTTGCGTCACTTTTCAACGAGAAGTCAACAGTAAGGTTCTCAAGGTTTATTGCAACAAGCTCTCTGAAGTCCCTAATACTTTGTGTAGTTCTTATTATAAAATCAGTTTTTTAATACAAACTTTTCTGGAAGCACTTTAATTTGGCATGTTTGACTGGAACTATTCCTGTCCTTTCCTTTTCTTTTCTTTTTCTTTTTTCTTTTTCTTTTTTCTTATTTAAGGTAACTTAAATTTAGGAGATTCTATTAAAGAAGTATAAATATCTAAACAAAATTTTTTCAACGTGAATGTTTAATGCTTAAAGCATTTATTACCGAAAAGAAAGGAGGATTTGTTTTTGTTTTTTCATATGTCTAGTACCTGAAACCCACTACCTTTCCTTTTCATTTAAAAGTACTTGTAATTTTTATATCTCATGTAAGACCAAAGCTCTGAGTCGAACTGCTCTTCTGCAGCTAGGTGAGCTCAGCTTGATTTTTTCATACATGATTTATTTTTATAGTCTCGCTCACCTGCCCACGGTGGGCAGTGCCCACGGTGGGCAGTGCCTACCACTTTGTTTTATATGAAAAACGTATTCTGAGAGTACGTTTTTCAATTAATTTAATTGAAAAACGTACTCTCAGAATACGTTTTTCATATAAAACAAAGTGGTGGGCACTGCCCACCGTGGGCAGGGGATCAAAATTTTTTATTTTTATTCCTGATACTTATTTTCTTTTCCTATTTTTTTGACCAGGATTTGTTTTCACATAATTCACATCTGTACGGAAATGTCACCTGTGGTTTCTGTTGGTCCTCTGGCATCATATATTACTGGCTTATCATGTGCTCTACAGAGAAAAGGAAATCTTGTCGAGGTTATTTTGCCCAAGTAATTATGAAAGTACTTGATCATGCATACTTTTACTTTCCGTTGGCATGTGGAATACCCCGCAACAGCCACCATTGGTTTTAGGGCCTAGGGGTTACTGTTATGGAGTTCTTTTACGAACAATTTTTAAGATATCAACCACCATTTTACCCATACGTTCTATTGTTAACTTTTAAAATAGGTATGCATGCTCGAAACTAGATGAAGTTCAAGGATTAAAGGAAATTGATGTCGAGCTCTACTCATATTTTAACGGTCAATTACATGGGAATAAGATTTGGACAGGGTGAGTTTGCCCTAATACTCTGTAAATTAATAATATATATCTTGACTGTGAAAAACCTGGGCATTTTAAGATTCTTGGATTGTCAAAAGATGCCGATTCTCATGCACTAGCATTACTTTGTTTCTAACAATGCTTTGTATGCTTGGCTTACAGGGTTGTCCATGGCATTGGAGTTACCTTCATAGAGCCTGTTTCTTATGCATCCCTTTTTAGCCATGACAAAGTGTATGGGTATTCAAATGATTTTGAGAGGTTTGTTAATGTTCCCATTATTTTCTTTCTTCCCCTTATTCAATAGTTCTTATGGAGTTGGAATTTGTTGGAATTTGATGGGTGTCAAAACCAACAATAATAAATTCCTACTCGTCTAAAATATAAAATTGTAGTAGCAATGAGTAGGGTCGTATCCACAGAGATTGAATAGAAATGAATTGATACAACTATTTCGTGGAGGAATAATAAATAAATGATAAGATGGCGGTTTCGATATGTTCAAACTACCTAAAATAATAAAAATTTAAATTCAATTAAAATAAACACGAAGAGGAGAGATTCATGATTTAATTAGAGTAAATAAAGGATATAATAAATAAAGGATATAACATATCCAATCAAAGGAAAAAATAGGGTTAGGGTTTGGTTAAATAAATAAATAATCCATAATAACCTATTCTTCTTACTTGTTCGATAATCAGGATACGATCTCTAATTATTTCTCTAATCAATAGACAATCCTAGATACGATTATAAGATATAATCTATCAACTGTATTAAAACTTAGGACCACCAATTCTAGCCAACAAATGCACTTGTAGATCATTTAGACTAGATCTCCCTAACATAAAATCGCGAAGTAATCAACTATGTTCTTTGCTACTAATAATAGAACAATCAAACAATTATGGATTTAATGTCCTAAATTGCAATGTGCTATTCCGATAATTGAATCAACCAAAATAACAATTGATAATAAACACAAGAGATGTACGAATAGAAGAGAATATGGAATAGAAAATTCAATTAGATCTCACAAATCATGAAGAACCAGATCAAGAATATTAGAATATTCCTTTGGCTGGAAAAATAATTTAGCTGTTTATAAACATGGTAGTCTTCTTCATAAAATTCATCCTAAAAATAATAAAGACAATAGAAATAAAATAAATTGTAGAAGAATTTCTTGTGTCATGCGTTCGTTTAAGATCGATCCCGCAGATAAAAAAAATAATGTCGAACTAAAAGAGAAAAGAGAGGAGAGAGAAACAATTATACCTAGCAGTCTGATTTAATTATTAGTCTAATCATAATCCTGGTAGAAATACGTAGAAAATAATAATCACTCTCCAAAATATCCTTAATAATTTAAAATAATCCAAAAATAAATAAATAATCCATAAAGTCTTTGATTTCTCTTTCCAACTCAAGACTCATTCCTTCTTCCAACACTTGTAGAAAATTAGCGTGCCCACGCCTTAACTCAAATTTGTTTCTTTTGCCCTCTAATCATCATAAAATTCCAACTTATGAGATATCCTACAAAAATTATGAAAATCAATTACAACAACAAGAACATAGTCTTTTTGTCCCAAGCAAGTAGGAGTAGGCTAGAGATGAAACCCAAGAGAACCAATGGTAAGAGATACACAAAAAAGGCTCAAAACAAAAGGAAGAGATTAGAGCAAAAGAGAAAAGAGCAAAAGTCACGGTTCTGGCACGTTGATTGCTAGCCTCCAAGCGCTCCTATCCACCGCTAAATCCTTGGAGATATTCTAATTTTTAAGGTCTTTCTTAACCGTCTTCCCAAGTGAGTTTAGGCCGACCTCTACCTCTCTTTACATTATCGACCCGCTGTAGAACTCCCATACGCACCGGTGCATCAGGAGGCCTCCGTTGGACATGCCCGAATCATCTCAGCCGATGTTGAACCAATTTCTCCTCAATTGGGGCCACCCCGACCCTATCTCGAATATCCTCATTCCGATTCTATCCCTTCTTGTGTGCCCGCAAAACCAACGCAACGCATTTCTGCTACATTAGTTGTTGGACATTGCCTTTTTGTAGGTCAACATTCAGCACCATATAGCATCGCCGGGCGAATCGCCGTCCTATAGAACTTATTTTTTAGCCTTTGTGGCACCCTCTTATCACAGAGAACGCCCGAAGCTTGACACCATTTCAACCAACCGCCTGCAATTCTATGCCTTACATTTTCATCGATGCCGCCATCCTCTTGTAGCTTCTATCCTAAATACCGGAAAGTCTCCTTCTTGGCCACCACTTGCCCGTCAAGGCTAACGTCACCATCATCATGTGTAGCCATGCTGAAAGCGCACGTCATGTACTCGGTCTTCGTCCTACTAAGTCTGAAGCCTTTCGACTTTAACGAAAATTATAAAAATCAATTAAAATCAATAATTAAGCTCAAACAAACAACGAAAAAGTATGGAAAACATGACAATTAACATACCAAGAATATGACTTATCAAATCACTCCACTTAAATGATGCTTGTCCTCAAGCATCAAGTCAAATTCATCATCCCATCCATAATGATCTCTATAATTTGTTATCAACCCAAAACTATTTTGACACAACAGAAACATAGCTTAAGAACCAATCCCCATTAACCAACATCATGAATAATAACCTCACCAATCAAATAACTTAAAACAAATGAGTTCTACAACTTCTCACAAGATGCACTCAACGCTCGAATATGTATAGGCTAAATATATTAAGTGTGAGCTCAAGCCAAGACAATGAAGGCTTTTACCATATACTTGCAAATATATCACGCTCATCCACCCAAGACTCAATATGAATACACAAAATCAAAGGGATTAAATGGGTTGTAATGGGTTTAGGTCAGGTGGGATGAAATGACGTATTAGACAATGAGAATGAAAGCAAACATATAGACTCTTCTCAAACGGAGCCCAATCCCAAAAGAAGTCATTTTGACAGTCTAACTTCACAAAATGCATCTAAAGTAAGAACAAAATAGCACAATTCTCTTCATCGTCATTCTCTCCAATTTTTTTTTCCTTTTTTTTTTGTTTTTTTTTATGAGTTTTCAAAATTTTCCCCTTTTTTTTTTTTTTTTTTCTTTTTTTTTTCTTTTTTTTTTGGAGAGAGGAAAAGAACTATACACATTAGATAACTACGCTTCAAACTAACTACAATCAAGTCCATGCACACATGCTCATCACCAATACAAAGAATTCATATAATTGCTTCAATTCAAGGTTTAAAAGATGATATAAACAAAAAGGATATCATGGCTTGTACGTGGTTAAGGCTCAAACTTAGCTCACTAGGTGTAAGAGTAGACTTCCAAGAAAAATGCTAAAAACAAATGGTTAATCTTAATACCCTTATTAAAATATCATGCACCCAAATTCATCAAATGAGTAAACAAAGACGTGCATAACAATGCAAGTTCTAGAAAAACCGACTAGTCATGACAACACACAATCAAAGAAATGGAGCATGATATTCAATGTATACTCATTGGCTCAGTTTTCACAAATAACAAGGTAATATGTGCCGAATCACATGCATTCGTCTGTCCATTAATCATCAACAATAATCAATCACCAAGTAACTACTAGCTACAAGGACTCCAAAATCATTTGCGCATGCAAATCAAATCAATTTTCATGAATTGGCACCAAACGAATCGAGAATAACAACAGACATAATTAAAATAACTTAACAAACATAAGCCTCAAAATTTTAGCGCGAGAAATGCAACACAAATTCAACAAGCAATCCCACCCCACACCTAATAATAGACATTGTCCTCAAAAACTAAAATAAAATGAATAATAAACAAGAAAAGTGAGGAACTCCCTGATCACACCGGCATCCTCACTAAGGTGCCGGGTAGGGCAGTTTGAAGCCTACGTGAAATACGCGTCCAAGTTACGTTCCATTCTAGTTAATTGTTGTCGAATATCATTCATGGTCGCACCAAAAGTGCTAACATCGATTCAAACATGGAAAGTTTCTCGCCGGCCGCTGAACCATCTTTAGATAGAGCTCGGAGTACACGCGCAATGTTGCTTTTGATTTTAGAGGGACCTGGACGACAAAAACCAAGAGAACCTTCCTCTTCCTCTATCAAGCCAAAACCTTTCAAAGCATTCAAATTCAAAGGTTGCATCTCACACGCATCTATCAAATTGTTACCTACAGCAAAATGGGTGATCAAAGAACCAGAAGCATAGGTCTCATAGTTTTTCCTTTTACAACACTATGAAACTGAGTAGCCAACCTAGATTAACGCTTATTTTGTTAAGCATAGCCTATAGAAAGGAAAGGCTCGAAGTTTAATTTGCTTCTCTGTAACCATTGCGGCTTCATACTTGAACATGCATATGGAATTCTTTCAAATGTTTATGCAGATCCTCATTCTCAAGTCCACGAAACTTTGGAAGTATGTGAATAAGGCAGGATTTGAGCTCAAAAGCTGTCTCCATCGTTGGGTACTCAATGCACAATGGAGTTTGTTCTATGTCCGGAGCAGTCAATTCTCGTAGCGTTTGGTTTCTGTTTGCCATAACCGATTCAACTTCTTTTGATTTCAAATTCTGCATCACTAGAAAAATCCTCCAAACCAAGGGCAATATTCAATCCAGGGGAAGGATGAAGAAGACTCTTGAGTACGTAGAAAGTTTGCTTCTTTCTGCAACCGCTTTGCGGTTTTCTCGATTTCTTGATCGTACTTGAGTAGATTTCCTTCACGAAAAGAACGTGGCATCGAAACAAATCTAATTTTAAATTCCAATCCCCAACAATGACGCCAGAATTGATACAATGACGCCAGAATTGATGGGTGTTGAAACTAACAATAATAAATTTTTACTCATCTAAAATATAAAATTGTAGTAGCAATGAGTAGGGTCGTATCTACATAGTTGGGATAAATGAATTGACACAAAGATTTCGTGGAAGAATAATAAATAAATGAAAAGATGGGGGTTTTGATATGTATCTAAAAAAATAAAAATTTAAATTCAATTAAAATAAACATGAAGAGGAGAGATTCAAGATTTCATTAGAGTAAATAAAGGAGATAACATATCCAGCCAAAGAAAAAATTGGTAGAAATGGTGATCACAGATGCAAAGATAATTCTCCTATTCTCATTTAGACTGGTTATAGTTATTGGTACGACCTTATAACCTATTATTCTTACTTGTTCGATAATTAGGAGACGCTTTCTTATCTAATCAACAGACAATCCTAGATACGATTATAAGATTTAATCTATCAATTGCATTAAAACTTAGAAGGACCACCAATTCTAGCCAACAAAAGCACACGTAGGATCATTTAGACTAGATTATAAATCTCCTTAAACATAAAATCGAAAACCTTTAATAATCAACTACGTTATTGGCCACTAATTATAGTACAATCAAACAATTACGGATTTAATGTCCTAAATGGCAATATGTTATTCCGATAATTGAACAAAGAGCTCTTTTTGCATCAATCAATCAAAATAACAATTGATATTAAACACAAGAGATATACGAATAAAAGAGAATAGAGAATAGAAAAGAATAGAGAATAGAAAATTCAATTAGATCTCACAAATCACAAAACATAAAGAATCAAATCAAGAATTATCCTTTGGCTGCAAAAATAATTTAGTTATCCATAAACATGTAGTCTTCTCCATAGAATTCATCCTAAAAATAATAAAAGACAGTAGAAATAATATAAATTGGAGAATTTCTTATGTCATGTGTTCGTTCAAGATCGATCCTGGAGATAAAAAATAATGTCGAACTGAAAGAGAAGAGAAGAAAGAGGAGAGAGAAAAAATAATACCTAGCAGTCTGATTTAATCTACCTAATCCTAGAAGAAATACATAGAAAAATAATGTCTCTCCAAAATATCCTTAATAAACTAAAATAGTTCAATCATAAATAAATACCCATAAAGTCCATAAATAAATACTCCATAAAGTCTTTTATTTTTCTTTCCAACTCAAGTCTCTTTCCTTTTTCCTTTACCAACTCTTGTAGGAAATTAGCGTACCCACGCCTTAGCTCAAATTCGTTTCTTTTGCCCTCCAATCATCATAAAATTCCAAATTCTGAGATATCCTACAAAAATTATAAAGATCAATTAAAACAAATAATTAAGCTCAAACAAACACCGAAAAAGTATAGAAAACATGATAATTAACATGCCAAAAATATGACTTATCTAATTGTTATTAAAGTATATAAAACCACGGTATATATGATAAAAATCTTTATTTGGTTTTATGTTTCCATTCCAAGTTTCCAACTACCAATCTTTCTGATTTCACTGGGCACAATTGATTTCATTTGCTCGTAGAAGATCTGTTTAGGTTAGTAAGAATGACAAAATTATGATAAGGATATGTGAAGTCACATTGGTGGTCTCTATACTGAGTAACAATGATGAGATTGATATGAATCCCGGTGCCTATTCTATAGAATGCCAATTTTGTGATTTCATTAAACTATATTTAGTTATGTGCCTGTCACTGTTTGCTTCTTTGGTTCATATCTTTCTGCTACTTAATTGCACTAACCTTATGCTGCCAGATTCACCTATTTCTCTCGTGCTTCACTGGACTACCTAGTTAAGTCAGGGAAGCGACCTGATGTGCTTCATATTCACAATTGGCAAACATCAATTGTTGGGCCACTTTTCTGGGACGTTTTTGTCAATCAGGTATACTCGAGAATGCTGAATATTCACAATGTATGTTGATCAAATATAAACATTGTACAAGTACTCAGATACATAGTCAGAAAAAGTAAAGAACTCAATTGCTTCTATTCTAAGTCTTCACAAGAAAAAATAGTCACTCCTATATATAATTCCCAAAAGTAGCAGGCTCGCACGCTTCAGTGTGGCAAACTTTCATGCTTTGTCATTTGGCTTGGATGTTTTTTAATTTACTTCAAGTCCAAAAATAACGAGGTTTGGAACATTCCTAAATTTACTGGAAATTTACTGGAAATTTATGATCAATTTTTTAAGCATTAATTATGTTTTAATATCATTTTTTATTCTAAATGTGGTTTATAAGGCATAAATTTGTTTTCCCCAATCTTTCATAATTTAAAAAACTTACTAAATTAAATTATAAATAGATTTAGAAGTTAATAAATTTTTTATTTATTATCATTTTTTTTTTGTATATAATATATGAAAATAATGTTCATGAGCTTCAATTAGGCATTTATATTGGACATACAAAATAAATAAATAATTATATTTATCCTCAGAATATAAATTAAATTACCTATTAATATTAATTGAAAAAATTAAACTTATTTGAATTAATTTAAATACAAAAGTAGTTATGTAAAATTAGTTAAAGAAATATTGTAATATAAGATGGCATGTCATACAAGCGACGAGTGTCATTTTAAATATAAATAATAATTTGGTTTTTCAAAAACATATTTGAAAATTAAAACACTTTTTATTTTTATTTTTTAATTTTAAGTATAAATTTACTAACAAACACCTGTGTAGTACATGGGTATTGTACTAGTGTAAGATTAATTATTAAATATGGACTTTCTTTTCCTTTTTTTTGGGTGTTCTCTTTTGGGTCTGTGCATGGTGTACAAGTATGTCATTAAGATTGTGAGTGAATCCCCTCTCATCTGCAAACCTTTACTTAGTGCCATTAAAACATTGTGGAGAGCATATACTTATAAAAGACAAAGATATAATTAGTTCATTCCAAATAAAATTTACAGGCTATCGCAACAGTTTTGATTGTGATTGTTCCCCTGATGTTATTGTTACATGATTTGTAATATATATTCTTTAACGATTTGCAGGGCTTTGAAGGTACTAAGATTCTGTTGACGTGCCAGGGCTTTGAATCCCAGGCAAGCACCTCTTTTTATGTTGTTTTGACTCTTAACTTTATAATTTTGCTGCATTTTTCATTTTATTATGCAGACACTGACCATTTTGCTTCATCTATACTGTTTTAGTGCCTCGAACAACCTGGAAAGCTAGCATTATGTGGGCTTGATCCGTCTAGATTGTTTCGATCTGATCGACTGCAAGATAACAATAAGTCTCATCTTGTCAACATTTTAAAGGTATTCTTTTTCTCTCTCTTATTAAAGTGTTGTCTCACTTTATAGCCTAAAGAATTTATGGACCAGGTCTTTCTTCTGTACACAATCTCATTATATGGCATATTTATATCCATGGTCCTGCACTTCAGTGTCATCTTATTTAATATATATAGATATGTCAGTAATGTGACACATAAGCAGAGCCAAGTCGAGTAACTCTGGGTATAAATGAAATAAAATGAGAATTTCTGAGTTCTGGCTTTGATCCTCCCTTATGCTCACACCTTATACAAACACATCATTATATTCTAACTGAAAGCATTGTCGTTAAATTTACATTCTCTGCCATTTTAGCCATTTTATTTTCTTGTTCCTTCTTTGATAAATCTTACCGTTTTCAGCTATTCTTTTAAGCACCGGTTCAGTTCATTGAATCTTTTCTTTCTATACTCTTCTCGATATTTTTCCCTTCCATTATCTGCAGGGTGGAGTTGTTTACTCCAATAAGGTTATCTTAATGTCATCTGGACAGACAAAAGGCCAGATCATTAATTCATCCGGAGATGGCTTGGAACAGACCTTTGGTATTCACAGGTACGTACGACCTTTGAGATTTTGCCTCCTGCGTATAATCTTGTAAAACTGGCTGTTGCATGACAAAAGATTGGTATTTGGTCATTTTACTTATTGCCCATCATATGATTCTCAACAAGTTTTTTGCTTACACTCCTTGAGTCAACCTGAGCATGTTCAGTTGGCTGTAGGGAAAAGTTGGTGATTGCTCCTTCTGGCCTCGATAAATCAACGTGGGATCCTTCACGCGACAATTTAATACCACAAAGTTATAATGCTGATGAAATGAAGGGAAAATTCGTGTGTAAAGCCATGTTGCAGCGTAGACTGGGTTTACATGAAGGAACATCTAAAGTTCTTGTGAGTGTTTAGGAGTGTTTAAGCTCATAATACAGTGTGTTCTCACGCCACAAGCCACTGATATCGTGCATGAAACCTAAACAGTTACCCCGTAAATTTTAATATTTACCTTTTTATATTGAATTGCCAGGTAGGAAGCATTTGCTCGGATGTTTTAGATGTTGATCTAGAGAAGCTTAAGCCGCTAGTTTGGATGATGTCTAGGCGGGGAGTTCAGGTGTTTTTGTCCTGGCTTTTGAACACTTTCTCTTTATCGGATAAATATTCTTGTGAAGAATGCATCTGAGTCTCTGACTATCAACACTTTTACTCATTTTCACAATCTTATTTTATGGCTTCTTCTTCTGTTCAAGTGGTTCCCGATATCTGATTATTGAGTATGCGTTTTACCACCAGTTTGTTTTCATGGGATCTAGCCAACTTCCTGTTATCAGGAGGGCCTTGAAGCTTTTTCAGGAAGAAGTCAGGGTACGTTCTTGAATTATTATGTAATTGGATTATGAGGGCCTCGAAGCTGTCGTAGTTCTTGAGAAAACATGCCTCACTTTAGGAACTCTGAGACTTGGCTTTCCTTGTATATAAACTTTTCTATCTAAGCCAGAACAGTTTTTGAGGATTTCTAATGCAAAGTCTAAATATCAAGTGATACCTTTTCATGCAGGACGAAAATGTGAGATTTATTGATGAATATGATGAAGAATTATCGCGTCTGATATTATCAGGATGCGACATTATGCTATGCCCATGTTTTGATGATCCTGTTCTCCAAGTGCCTGTAAGCTTCTTACTATATGCGAATAAAAGATTGTGACTCAAGTCCCTCAGTTATTACAAATTAATTTGTTAAAGAGAGAGAAATTACTTTCAGAGCACTTTATAACCCAGTTTTGCTTTAAAGGATTACAAGAGCAAGAATATGAACACCAAGTGACTGAAGTAAAGTTATCCTCTCTTTTTTTTTCTTCTATTTTTAGGAAGCACTCGATATATTAATAAACTAAATAATTTCAGGCAAATAAACATCTAGACAATCTGAGTTAAACTACTAGAAAAGCTGAATCTAGGAAAATTGCACCCAGATAGCCAAGAGCCAACACCACATCACTACCAGAAAAACTTGAAACAAAACCAAAACAAGCTCCCACATGGTAAAATAAAACAGTTCAATAATGGAGAGTAGCAAAAAAAGAAGCCAAAAAAAAAAAAAAAAAAAAAAAAACATAACTTTCCGAATTACGACTATTCCGAGTGTGCAAAATGTTTCGGTTATCTCTTTTTGTACAGCTCAAGGCCATGAAATATGGAGCAGCTCCTGTGCCTATAAACTATGCTGACAGCAGATTCAGGTGAGCTGATGTATCTAACTGTGTGTGTTTGCATGCGCGCGTGCTCTAAACCTTTTCATCTGTTGATTAAGCTATGGGTCTCTTACAGGAACTTTGGCGATGATAGTGTTGAGGGCACTAAATTCTCCCAATACATCAAATATACCTTTGCCAATATGTCTCTTGGCCAAGCAATTGACGAAATTGTACGTGTTATCCTAGCAATATTCGTGTGTCTCGATTAAATGTGTTATGTGATAATGGAAAACAATAATCTTAGGCTTAATTATTGCTGTTTGTTGGTTTTGATTTCTTTTTCATTTTTTGTTTCTCTTTAAATTTGCAGGAACACAATCCATCACAATGGATTACAAGGATATGCGATGCTATGAAAAAGGATTTCTCATGGGACTCGGAGTGTGCAGATGTGCATATTTCTGCATATACAGCAGTTAGAGACTTATAAGTTAATAAGAAGATTCTGGATATTTGTACATGTTGATTGACTACACTTGCTAGGTAATATGTATGTGTGTGCAGATATGAAAGGAGATACTTCTTTGTATTTATAATAAATTATAATACCAATGTAAAGTGATGAAGTTATAATATATGACTAAGAGTGATTTGTATGATAGGATTACATAAGGAACTTGTGATTTATGATTAAGTGCTAGAGAGGTGAGTGATTTGCACGAAATACCGACTCATCAAGATTTCGGGTTAAATTGTCTCGTCTCAAACGGTTTGCACTGGATCAACCTTACATCGTTAGGGGTTCCTGTAAGTGTGTATACTTTTTTTTTTTTTCGAAACGATAGAGATGTCATATAAAAGCGCACAAATATGAAAAAGTACAACCACCAGCTGAATACAAACAACCAATAGTTGAATACAAGCAGCCAACAGCTGAATAAACTGGGAGGTGAATAAACTGGGAGGACAGGTAAAAAAACCATCTAGAACCGACCCCATAAGGGTAATACTCTAGAAACACAAAAAACACAATGACAAAAGAAACGACCCCAACAGGTAATGCCCGAGGGTAAGATCTCAACAGGATATGTTGATAATAAGGTCACACTCGGGCTAACCCGACCCAAACATAAAACACAAATACTAACAGAAACACCGACACAGACGACAGAAAACAAGAACAAACAAACGAAACACGCGAGAACAAAACAACTACAAACTAAAAACACAACATCCCTCACATGAGATACATCCAAAAACGACAACAGACAAAGCCGATTCCGAGGAGAGCTCCAAAGCTCTGATACCACGCCCGTCACTGCATAAGGCCTACAAGACGATGACCCATGCCTCAAAACAATCCAAAAAACCGACCCGTACACCAACCGCAAGAAACCACAATCGCCCCCCAATCGGCTAACATCACTAGCCGATCCGACATCGTCCCAAAACCGCCTATCACCACTAGCCAACTCCAGAAGCAATCGGCCTCCCACGAACTCAGAAACAGAGAAAGGGTAGGAAGGGGACGAATGGCGTCAACGCTTAGCCGCTCCGACCCTGCCCGAATGAAACGCCAACCTTTCAACCCAGCCCGCAAGGACAAACCCCGACCTAACACCCCTGCACAATCGAGGTGCCCGCGACCAGACCCTGGCAGAAACCGGAGATTCGTAACCGGTCTGACCTCCAAGCCCAGCGAGAAGAGACACCCCAACCAAAGCCGACTCAAGCAACACAAGCCTCATCCACGCACAAGCCCCGCATCCCGCCAAACCTTCACACCACTGAATACCGGCAGCCATCGAGCGAAAAGAGGAATCCGTCGAAACCCTAGCCTGTACCTAGTGGCTTTAGACAGAAGACAAAGGCGCCACAACAATGATGAGCGGCGGTGGCCGTCCACCAACGATCCCGGACGACCTCTAAGGAGCTTCAACCGTTGAGAATTAAAGGAGGCCGAAGAAGAGAGATCAAGCGAAATCGGAGATCTGATATTCGCTCGAGAAGTTTTCCGTTTATTTTAAAACAATTTACTAGGACAAATAAATTGTGATTAATTAAACTGTCTTATATTATCTTAAAGTTTGACTTTTTGCTTAATAAGTACTCCCTCTTTTTTTAAATAAATGTCGTTTTGACTTTTTTGATTCATTCATTTTGCTAATGTCTAGATACATAGCAAAATGGATGAATCAAAAAAGTCAAAACGACATTTATTTAAAAAAGGAGGTAGTACTATCTTTCTTTTGAATGAAAATCATGTTTAATTAAACTGTCTTATATTATGATATTTTTACATTTGAATATTGTGGTTGATCATGGATGGACGAAAGATCACATATTGTTACTTGTAAAAAATAAATAAATATAGTTCACAACTTAGATGAAAATGAACAACACATCGTGAACGGTTGTAGTGTCAATTGTACAATCTGTCTTGGCTGATTGGTTACACTAGTACACTTTTTGACTGATCGCAGAGAGATAAGTTTGTTTTGAACTGATCAGTAAACAAACTATACCTCGGTTAGCTACTGCCTACTAACAGACACGTGCATACAGTAGATTCTTCCATTCTCCTGGGTCAATAATTAAATGTGTTTTGGGTAGTGATGTTGTGTGTATGGTGTACTGTTCAATTATTTACGGTCACCATGAGTGATAATTTGATGATGTCCTCGAGATGAACTCAACAAAGATTATTATTGGGGGTGCACAAAGTTCGGTTAACCGAGCTGAACCGACCGAAATAAAAAATTCGGTTTGGATCGAAACCGTATATTTGGTTCGATTTTTAGTTTATATTTTCCTAAAATTTATGTTTTCAGTTCGTTTGGATAACTGTGATCGGTTAACCAAAAATTCGGTCGGTTCGGTTCAGTTTTGACCGAATGAGCAGCCCTTTTTTACTATATTTTACCCTGCAGGTGGATTAATTTATGACACAACAATAAAACATTGAGTGGTATTGATCTCAGCACAAGTAGTCAATTAATTATATTATCAGTAATTAATTAATTGATAGATATTATATCTTAAATACATGGAGATAAATTGGATAATTATTATCAAAGCCTCAAATATAAGTTGGGAGCCAAATAGGGAGATCAACGATATTTCTTTTGTGGACTGATATAAATTGTTCAAGTATGAACATATATAGTTGTTGGAAAAAAAGTATGAACATAGTTGACTTGGCCCATAAGTTAGGCCCATACTTAGAAAGCCCATTTTTGACACCTCATTAGAATCCATGTTCTAGCTTATAAATGAACACATTCTCTTAGGATTTTATCATCCAAGAGAGAAATTTATGAGTTTTCCACCAAAACAAATATAGTGTGTAAAGGTCATACAACAGAAGTCCGAGATAAACTCGAGACTCCCGCCGATCACCCGCGCATAGAGCCTCGTCTCACCGAGCACCAAGCCCCGCTCACCCTCCGCGACCTCGACGCAGCCTGTGACATAGCTGATGCCAGGGCCCAGCCGCGACGACCGCATATGATGCTTGACTCCGTACGCAAGTAGTCTCCGAGCAACTCGAGCACCGCCCACGAGCAGCACCGCGCGACACGCCAGCAACAACTGCCCGACCCGCACGGGAGAAACCCAACGACGAGATGTGTGATCCGATTCATGCGATTGATCGAGCAAACCGAAGGGGTCTAGATGATTCTGATCAACAAAAATCAAAAACGTCTCAGAGTCTGCAAAAGTTTTAAGTCATAATTGTCCAATACTTAATTTAGTTCGTTGCGCTTTAGGCTTATCTTTGTAGGCTAGATCCGTGACTTGCATAAATTCGACATTCATCATAGAACCCCAACAAGTGGTATTAGAGCACTTGGTTCGGATCTTTATTTTTATATGCATTATGTGCATAATCTAGTTGTGTTCAAGACGCGACATATGTTTGTTGGATTATTATTACATAACTTAGCTTTGCAGGTGATTAGATAATCCACTATCATAACTTTGAATGTATGTTATGCAGCTTTTAAAGACTCGAGATTGTTAAGAAATTTTGGTTCTGAATGCTTGTAATAATTTATTCGTACGGTGGGACACACTATAGATTTATTATTTTTCTAGAAGAGCATGTAAACCCATCCGTGGGCCTCGGATTCATGTAATTTATTTTATGTACATTATCTGTTGTTTGCTGACGAGCTTGGATAACCACGAAGACTGAAAGACCTCGACGATTGGCAACTAGACTCGGCAATCGTACGACTGCTGTTGCGCAGGGTCCCGCATGGGCCGCGAACATCTTGCTGTCGTGGTGGCCAGAAGGCGCTGGACCAAGCACAGGCCGCAGTAGGCGTGTGAGTACGCATGGAGAGAATCAAAGGCCTCGACGACCGGGGATGGGCAACGTGCACGGGGCCTGCGAACAACGCGCGATATAATCACGGGGCGCTGTTCCGCGGAGACTCGGATCTGTATGTGTGTTTCGCCCCAGGGTCCTGAGTGTGTGCCCGCCTTGACCCGACAACGCGGAGGCATTGCTTGAGGATTTCTCGGAAGTATAAAACTGTGTAACTTTTATTTTTATTTTTATTTAATTTCTCTAATCTAAAAAATACATGTTCATATAAAATCTATAAAGTCGGTTCGGTTCGAACCTAGATCTATGTAAAGATAGATGATATTACCTTGATTATCTGTGAAGATCTATATAATATTTTTACGAGATATCCAAGTGGTTTGTGTGTATCTACTTCTCGATTCTGGAGAATTTGATTCATTTATGATCAAGGAAACCCCTTATGTTAGGGGATAAGTCATTAAAATATCTTATAAATAAGAGAACCTGGTTGACATTCTAGACATACGTTGTAAATAAATTCTCTTGATTATGATATTTGTAAGGAGAATATTTTTGACTTGAGCATCGGAATGTCTACGTTGGGGACTTGCCTTAACATTGTTTTGAAGGTTGATCCATTTCGTTGTTCAAGACGTTCGAGACTAGATGATTCAACCAGAGATCATGGTGGGACGATAATTTAACCACATCACATGTTATGAACTTTATAATTTTTATTCTCGAGTTAATTATTTGCATAGTGGGTGAAAAGACGATCCACTAATTTATCATTTCAACACATTTTTGTTGTTGTTTTAAATTATTGTAAACAATCACTTTTATATTTTTAATAAAAATAATTTAAATATATATCATATATTGAGAAGTGCTTAATTACAAAAATACTCAATTATTTTATTTTATTAAATAAAAATATAGATTACGAAAAGAAATAATTAGATCTATTTTGCCTTTTATTAATTGGAAAATAAAATAAAGATTACGAAAAATTGTCTTTTCTTTTTTCAAAAATTTAAAATAGGCCTACGTAATTTTTTCTTCCAGTAATTCAGATTTTTTTGCGGATATATATAGAGAGAGATCACACGAGAAAATTTAATAAGTCGCAGCCAAACATGGGTGACATTATTGGAAATAATTTGTACATAGCATGGTTAAATATAAACATTAGACCACTAAGTGGGGGTAAACATGACATTATACACTACAAGTAGACCCCACCATTAACACCACTAACCTACCCTCTCTTTCTCACACATAATTACACACAACACACACCTACACACACAAAACACCTTACGACACACACATAGAAAACACACACAAGCTCAACGGAGTCGTTGTCGAACGTTAATCGCGCCGTCGCCACAAGCACCGTCGGTCACGTCGCTGGCGACATCAGCCCGCTGCCGCCGATGTGGAGAACTCTCAGATTGCAGTACTGTATGTGGAAGGTATGGTCGACCTCGCAGGCGTCTACGTGGTCATCCTTGCCCGACGGTTGTGTGGTCATCCTTACCCGACGACCGTTTATCGCTCCCCATCGCCGCGTTGTCGCAGCCCTTCTTAATCGCCGACCTTGATGCTCAAATCCGACGGCGAGAATAAGGTCGCCACCTCCAGCGACACCAACCAGCGAACCTTCAGCACTGTTTATTACTTCTCCCGCAGCCGCGTCGCCACCGCCTTCCTTACCATACCCGCAGAAAGGCAACAACGCTCTGAGAGTTTTAAATGGTCAATTTACTTTTTTTTTTTTTTTTTTTNNTGCAGAGGAAGTCGCCGAGGTGCTAACGGCACCTCGGCGACTTCGTGGCAGTGTTAAGTATTGGGCAATGAAGACAACGACAGGTGACCATAACGACAGTGACTGGTACTTCGGGAGTGAGCTCCGACGGAGGTGGACGGAGGTGGTCGATTGAAATTGTGTTTTCGAATTGTAGGTGATGGGTCCTCTCCTAGATCTGGATTGAATCGGTCTGAATAAGCTCTGATCTGTATGAACCACGTATGAATCTCCACGAACACCTGCAAGAACTCAACGCTGGAGGGGCTTCCAGCGTAGCGTAGAGCCTCCGATGCTTAAGTCAATCTCAAGGAAAAGGAGGTGCTCTGCAGAAAGAGCAGTATGAAATGTATAGAGAGCGTAAAAGTTGTGAAATGGTGGTACCTCAGCTCCTTTTATAGGAGAAATACGTAACCGGAGTGCCCTGGCTGAGTGCTTGCGGTCAGCCTGCCCGGATCTTCCTTGCTAAATCATATTCTAATCACTTTGTAGTCAGATTCTAGTCAACTTAAGATTCCATCTTATTCAATAAAGATTCATCCTTATCCGTTAAGCTTGCTGAGTGCTGAGATATGGTTCCTCGATATGGATCTCGAGTAATGTGACAAGTGAGGTGAGTGCAGTCGACCTCGAGATGCGAGATGGGTGAAATCGACCTCGGACTGTGAGGTGGGTGCTTTCAGCCTCGAGATATGAGAAGTCGACCAACATTCTTCATATTGGTAAGGGGAGCTGTATCGTCGCACCTCTCTTCTCGGACCATCCTCGAAGTCCTCGGGTTGCTCAACTCCTTGTCGATATCGAGCTATTCTATGCTCTCCTTCGAATCTTTGTTCAAATAGTGTATATGTACTTAGGTAGTGGTCAAATATATTCATTTTGTTAATTATAGTATTAACTTTATTATAACTTAATAAATTTTAATAAATATAAATATTTAATTACATTTGTAAATTCAATAATAGCAAAAAACAAAAAAAATTGATAAATAAATGAAGTATTATTTTTGAAACATGTCTAAAAAATAAATGTATAAATTTTTTATTATTAAAAAATAGTGTTGTATAAAAATAAAAAGTGAAGTTGTATTTTAAAATATTATTAAATTATAATTATATACATATATGAACTGATCAATATATGTATGTTTCGAGATGATCCACTTTAATATCTATTTTTTTATGTGTTTAAGTTTATAATAAATATATACTGAATAAAAAAATAAAAAGTATAGTTGTATTTTTAAAATATTAATAAAAATATAATAATATTATATTAATTAGAAGTAAGTGAAAAAACGTGTGAAAATAATAAACAATGAGGTTTATAGAGTTTATTGTTATTGAAGGTTTATGGATATAGGAATAAGGATGATGTGGCATGTTGAGATTGTAAAATGAGATTTCTCCAATACTATACTTTTGAAAGACAATAACTTTTAACACATGTCTATTAATGATTGTAACTTTAATCCACATAATGTTAACAGATTAGAAATTTGAGTCAAATTAGTATTTTCAATTTATCAATTTGATAAGAAGTTGTTTGTATAGGTTGATCAATTAAAATAAAATTGATACAACAAAAATTAAAAATTATAAACTAAATATAGAGCTAATTGATGAGTCATCATGTTCAATTTAGAGCATAGACTAAATTTTTAATGAAATTTTACTAATAAGACTTTCAAATTTCACATAATTATTTCACACTATAACTTCATCTGCTTAAAAGAAAGCCCTCCAAGGCAAGAACCCTGGTTCCCCGATTCTGAATATAGAAAATCAAGAAAATCACAATTTCACCCGCAACAATGGCGTCGACCACCGAGACCGCCGGATCCTACAAACCGTACCGGCTCAAGCACACCCTCTCCGGCCACAAACGTGCTGTCTCCGGCGTCAAATTCTCCGACGACGGCCGCCTACTCGCCTCCTGTTCTGCCGACAAGACCGCTCGCACTTACTCCCTCTCCTCCCCCGACACAGTCCACAACGAGTTCCATGGCCACGAGCTCGGAATCTCCGACCTATCCTTCTCATCCGACGGTCGTTTCCTCGCCACCGCCTCCGACGACCGCACCGTCCGCCTCTGGGACGTCGCTACCGGCTCCCTAATNAAAACCCTAGACGGCCACACCAACTACGTCTTCTGTGTCAATTTCAACCCCCAGTCGAACATGCTCGCCTCCGGCTCCTTTGACGAGACCGTCCGTGTTTGGGATGTCAAGTCCGGCAAGTGCCTCAAGGTGCTGCCCGCGCATTCGGACCCTGTGACTGCCGTCCATTTCAATCTGGACGGTTCCATGATCGTCTCCAGCAGCTACGATGGGCTTTGCAGGGTTTGGGATGCCTCCACTGGGCATTGTATGAAGACGCTCATCGAGGAGGAGCACCCGCCCGTTAGCTTTGCCAAGTTCTCGCCCAATGGGAAGTTTCTTCTTGTTGGGACTCTTGATAATACTCTGGTTAGTTTTTGTTTCCTTTTGGCCTTTATGTTTTCATGACTAAGTTACAATCATTCTTTGTTTTCTGATATTTTGTTGGTTTAATTTGCTTGATGTGATTGTCTTTTGATGACTGGCTAATGGGGCTGCGTTTAATTGCCATGCTCGAAAGTGTTTTCAACTCAACTAGGATACTAGATTCATTGTTTGATATCAGAGGTGTATGGGTTGGTTTACTTGGATCAAGTGAAAAAGTACTGAAAAGTACTGAAAAATTTATAGTGCTTCAGTCGGTTTAGATGGTTCCTTATGTATTAGAATATGTGCTTAGATATGTCTGTCTTTATACTTAATTTGTTTTCTTCAATCTTCACTTGTAGTTTGTTCGCTATATCTTTGAATGGCTTCTTCCTAAAATGAAAAACAAACAATGGTATTGCTGTTGCAATTTTTCTTGAGCAATATCAACACTAGTTCTGATATGTAGTTATCATTGTAGATAGGTTGTAATTATAGTGTGTCTTACATTGATAGATATTTGATATGATGTTCCGGTGGCTAATCACGCAATGATCTGCTTCATTGATATGAGTGAGTTGTGCCAATTGTTGGGGTGACCAGATTTTCTAGTCTCATTATTTGTATTCAAGATTGATTGGTATGAGTGAAGTTTTGGTCACTACTTGATCATAAATGAATAGGATGGTCTTGCAGTTCATTGTAAGAAGTATATCTTAATCTTTGGAACTGCGTCAAGTGGAAATTATTAGTTCATTTGAAGTTTTTGTCCAGGTGGCGAACTCAACTGAATTTCTGCCTTTTGATCTGCATTTCAGTATAACCATAATCAAAATCTCTTGTACCTTTCCACTACTCAACCTCGAAATCGGCACAACTGCCAAGTTGAACATGACATTGTTTTTTCTAGTTTTTTGTTTTACAGTGTGAGGCTTCTGCATGTGTAAATTTTTTCTCATGAAATCATTCGGTTTGTTTGACTAAAACATGCAGGGAACATGTAATCATGACTCCTAAACTAACTTTCCAAGGATCTCGGCCAAAATTTTGTTCATGAGAAGCCATGGTCATTGAAACTGATTAGGTCGAAAAGAAGCTTTATAAAAACCATCCCTAAGTTCAATCTGTTCTTTTCCTTGACACCTTTAATTGACCTGTTGCATCAATATATATCACTAAATATATTAGTTTTATGGAGAACAGAAATTACTCATAGAGTAACCTGAAGATACACGTATTGGTGAAGTAATAGAAGTTCTGTTCTCTTGAATTCTGCTATCACGGCATTGTTATATGAATAATGACGTTAAAAAGGTTTTTGAAAAAAGCAGGATCTTGTACGCTGTTTATATTGTTTAGGGACTCGAGTGGAGGCATAATAAGTTTGAGAGTATATATATTACATTTTGTTTTAACTTTTGGATTTGACATCCTGAATGAGAAATTAGAATTAGACATCATCTGTTGAAATAGGAAATCCACCTACTGCACAGCGTCTTTCTGTTTATGTATGAACTCTACCCTACAGAAAGTATGTGTCTATAAATGACATTCAAGTTGGAGGTTGATGGGGTTGGAATTCAGAAGATCTGTCTAAGAACATTTTGTAATATCAGCTTCTTGTCGGAAGTTTTAACACCTCGGGTTTGAAAAATCAAAATCTTGGCAAATTCTCTCTTGTGCATTATTCGGGATTTAATTGCATAGTTATGTTATGTGGGCTTTGTGCATAAGTCTTGTATAATCTTGTCTAAAGTAAATGTTGCCAATTTCTTCTTCCATACAAAATTTTCATCCTGTATTTGAATTACATCTCTGCAAAATGCATCCATTCACACTCTCTCTGTTCTCTAGTATAATCTCGAATGTGTGTGTGTGCGCGTGCGTGTTTTCCCAGCGGCTGTGGAGTTTTTCGTCTGGGAAATTTCTGAAAACCTACACGGGGCATGCCAACTCCAAGTACTGCATTTCATCGACTTTCTCCATAACGAATGGGAAATACATTGTGAGTGGGTCAGAGGACAACTGCGTGTACTTATGGGAGCTCCAGTCCCGGAAAATAGTACAAAAGCTTGAAGGTCACACGGATGCAGTATTAACGGTTGCATGTCATCCGACTCAAAACATGATAGCATCTGGAGCTCTTGGAAATGACAAGACGGTTAGAATTTGGACCCAAGAAGAGGATTGATTGACCATTTTGGTTCTCTTTTTTTGTCATATGGGAGTCAACTTATTGTGGGTTTGTTTTGGAAAATGTTGGGTGGTTAACTTTTGGGGTATAGAACTGCCTCTCCCTTTAAATTGAAGCATATTTTATTGGAAGTTTAAAATCTTTGTAATTTTACTTCT